ATTTCAACATTTCTTCCCTTCCACCTTAGAACTTCCTACTATTCTTCTTGCTTTATTCTTCTCCGTAGCGCTTTTCACAAATATACTCTATATTTTACTTATAGATTTTGATTCCTTCTGACTTCTCTTAGAAGTTAGAATGTAAGTTCTATGCAGATATGCAGATAAAAAATTTTCTAATTGCTGTACCTTAGCATCTCCCCACCCCTTGGAGAGTACCAGACACATATAAACATTCAGTAATTATTTGAACAGCGTACACAAGAATAAATCAATACTGATCAAAGTTACCAAGGAAATTGCCAAATTTCCATTTGATTTAGAATTATATGCATCATTTTCTGGAAGGCAGTGCCACATATAATAGTTGAGGGTGGTTTCTGGAGTCATTGTTCTGGGCGTGAATCCTGATTCTGACACTGGCTGTCTGCTTAGCATTGGGCAAATTACTTCAGATTACTGTGCCTTAGTGTTCTCATTCCCCAGTATAAGGAGAATAAATTGCCCATCTCATAGTTAGAAAACACATATAAAAGTACTTAAAACACTCTGGTACACAGTCAGCTCTTAAAACTTGTAAGTATTACGTTAAATCAATTTTTGAAAAGAACAATATTCTTTATGCACTCACTGCCTAAATGAAATAGTCATGAAAATTGTGTAGATATTAACAAATATTTTGTCTCCATCATCTGAATTATTTAATTCAAAGCATATCTTAAGCATACATTATTAATATAATTTACTTTCTGAAAATCAGTAGGACATTAATTTTATTTATTTGGAAAACTCCAATCAAGTCAAACAGAGTAATGTAATAATTCCAAATGTCAAGCTTGTTTTGGAATTCTGCATTGCCATTTACTATGTCTGTGATCCTGTGCGAGTCAATTAAAATCTTTAAGCTTTGGTTTTCACATTTTTAACATAAGCAAAAATTAAATCTATGTAATTAGTTGAATATTAAACATAGAACAGTGCCTGGTACATACAGTAACAGATCTCAATAAAAAGATTAAACAAATATTATTTTATATTAAAATCTAAAGAACAATGTTTGTGACAGAACTATATCAATTACTATAAAATTGAGGAGGAATTGAAAGTACATTATATTTTTCTGACTCCAAATTTAATTCTAAGCAAAGAAATTAGAGATTTACATGTTGGAAGAAGTTATTTTAAAAAGAAAATTTAGTATGAGAAATATTGACATATTTGACAGCAAATCACTTAGCATATGATTTCCTCTTCTATTAGTAACAGTTTATGAGATACGGGTGTCTCTTTTTTGTATAAACACTTCTGAATTTCTTAAAATTTAACCTTTTACTTATAATCCTCCTTCTCCTCCCCATTCTCATCAATTTAAACTTATGAAGATTCTAAGTAAGAAACACATACAAAACTCTTTTGCACACACATCTTCAAGGCCATTATCATCTCAGAATGTGGTATTGATATTTTGTATTATTGGATGTATTAGGCAAGTTATTCTTGTAAACCACTATTAGAATCCAAGCAGAGACACTGGTTGCTGCACTTAGATGTGGTGGAGAAGGTGAAAAATGCTTCTGCTCAGATTCTCTGCCAAGAGTTTGCTGGAGCCACAGTGCGACAGCAAGCACCTCAGATTATTCCAGAGTAAACCACAGGAACCAGGTTCTACATTCTGAAGAGAAACTCCACTAAACCTTTATAACCAGATCAGGACTAAAATACACATGTCTGGAATTGCACCTGTCTAAGAGCCAGGGAGCCTGAGCAGCCAGGATGATATGTTTTTGAGGAATGTAAAGGGTGTTAACATAATCCCCCAATCCCATACAATTCAATTTCAGAAAAGAATTTAGGGACTGTGGTAAAATAGCATCTCCAAGCTTCCTATGGCAAGATGATGCTCAGGTTTTCCATGTGCAGGGGAAATGATGAAGGTAAGGTTGAGGATAGGAAATTTGCAAGATAATAGTTCATCAGTTCGTTTTAATTTATAGTTGAACTATAAAGAACCTCCAGAAGGCTTGAAAATGTCATAAGCTCTACCAAGAGTGTAGAAATTAAAAATAGGGATACGGCCTCTATAAGAGATATGGGTGTCCTTTTAAAATTCCTTGCTTAATTTGCCTTAATATTAAAACACAGATCAAACTGTACTATTCTTTATGCACTTATACTTTGTAAAGTCTATGATCATCATCTTGATTTTTTTTTTTTTTTTCTGAGACTGAGCCTCGCTCTGTAGCCTAGGCTGGAGTGCAGTGGTGCGATCTCGGCTCACTGTAAGCTCCACCTCCCAGGTTCACACCATTCTCCTGCCTCAGCCTCCCGAGTACCTGGGACTACAAGTGCCCGTCACCACGCCCAGCTAATTTTTTGTATTTTTAGTAGAGATGGTGTTTCACCGTATTAGCCAGGATGGTCTCGATATCCTAACCTCGTGATCTGCCCGCCTCGGTCTCCCAAAGTGCTGGGATTACAGGCATGAGCAACCGTGCCCGGTCTTTATCTTGATTTTTAAATGACAAATCTAGAGAATGGCTGAGAAGGGATTATTGAATCCAATCGATATATTTTCTGTTAAAGAAAGCTGCCTTCTACTTCCACCTCTTATTCTTTAAAAAATGGTTAGGGTATTAATCCCCATGAAAATGCAGTAGGTTTTCTTAAAGAGAGTAGGACAGTGTCATGCCTTTTTTGGACAACCTTAGGTGTGATTTAAAGCTTTGAGGCTAAGAGTTTACTACTTGTTCTCAGTGAGCTGTTTCAATTAACACGAGTTTTTCATTTATTTTTGGTCAACACAAATGTGTCTAGTTTAGTCAATAATAATGTTTTTGCTGTTTTCACAATGAGAAATAAGGACTTCTGTCTCTTTAAAAATAATTTTATTCCTCATACTGTCCCATTATAAAATATATCTATAAAGCAAACTGTATTAATTACATAAAAATTATTTACTCATTATAAGAGGAACAGATCTATTAAAAGATACAAAATGTAAAAAGTTAAAGAAAACGGCTGATGATTAAATGGCAATAAAGAAAATCTTAAATTTAATAACATGAAATTTAGGTAACTTGTTCAACAAACTTTACTATCAGAAAGACTTAGGGTTGAATTCTAGTTCCTCCACTTATTTTCGTGTCACTTACACTTCCTGAGACTCATTCTTTTCTCTGTACATGAAGCAATAATTGTAATCTCACCCATCATTATAAAAAATATAAATGAGCAGCTACAGAAAAGTTATCTGGCACCAAGTGCCTTCTTTGTGCAAAGTGTATATTCAAGAAATGTTATTTTCTCCTGTGAAAAAATATATTAGCTAGAAAGCATTTCAGAACCACAAAATAACTCACCAACTTAAATTCCTGATTCTGTAATTTCTTAGGATACAACTCTATGTTGGGGACAACAGTGTGGGTCTAGAGTTTCCAATGTCTTCCGGGAGTTCTTGAGACCCACCATGAGAAGGAAGTGGTGGGGCATGGAATAAATGTGGGTGCAGTGGAGTGTATTGCTTATTCAGGCTTCTTTCTTTTCTAGTGTCTTCCAAAGACTCCAAAAGAGCAAGACTGTCTTATTCTATTTGAAGTATGTTGAGGAGCTAGATAATGATGGCGCAGGTATGGCCAAGAGTGCCTAGAGTCTGGGTCAGCCACTGGTGTGAGTCTTTTGCTTATGGACTGTCACAGGCAATCAGAACTAACTAGGCATATGGCTGTTCTCTCCGAAGTCTTTAGATCTGTGCCTAAGTACTATGTGATAGTGCCGAAGGAAGGAAGTGCCTGCTGAATTAGTATTTTTTTCAGTCTATTTTTGAGAGTAAGCATACCTTTCTTTCCCACATCCTCACCAAAGTGACCTTATTCACTGTTAACTAGTTATTGTGAAATGATGATTCAAAAGCAAGATGTGTTTCCTTCCTTTTCCTAAAGACTTGATTAATTATCTAAAGGCAGATCTTTAAGGACAGCTAAAACACCATTTTCCCTCCAAAACCCTAGCTTTTAAAATGCACTAAATTATTTGAGTAAACCATTTGCAATTTTATTTTCTTTTTGCTTTTTATGCATTGACCAAAACCACCAACCCAAAAGATTTTTTTCAGGATACAAACTATGCTCTGAGAATAAGTTAGGTATTTCTGAAAGATGTTTTAACTCTATCAGGCCAATAAATGGGCATCCAAGAAAAAGAATTATAACGCAAGACTGACCGGTGTTTTAAGTATTAAAGTCCATTTCTATTTAACTGTTCAACCCACACTGATATATTTTAAAACATCTTCCATTACTTTATCCTAAGAATTCAACGTTTTCTTATGTCTGTATCAGTCCTTACTACCTACCAAGGAGCAGTCATGGGAGGAACTGCAATATCGTTCACACACACAGTATTTCCCTGTTCTTCCTTTTGCTCTATCACTATGTTTCCTAAGAAAATGACACACAAACCATTGATTTTGAAAAGTGGCAGTAGTCTGGAATTTTTCTGTTGGGGGAAATTTTTTTCTGTTGAGGGCAAATTGTTATTTGGTCATTAAGATTGTCGAGATTCCTCTTAGAATTAAGTATTCAACATTTAAATTCCTCTGACTATATATTTGTTGGCATTATAAAATGTAGACTCATCTCCAAATTGGTTAGTCTGCCTAGTTATGCTATTCCAATCTGCTAGATACTTGGTTTGAGTTCTTCCTATGCATAATAAAGAATTTTCCTTTTGTAAACTTTATGATCTATATGTTAGCTCTTCTACTATGAAAATCTAGCTTTGTCACTCCTAGCCAACAGAAGGCAACAATGAAAACAATATTGAAATGTTATAACCCAAATATCTGCCTTTACTACTGATAATCCTCAGTTATTTCATGAGCTTTGTCTGCATGGATGTAGACTGCTTATCCAACAGTGAGCTGAGATCAGCCTCAGTTTTTCCAGTAAGTAGGAGTGAAGGAGTAAGTAGGAGTGTCCACATGATAGATATCTCTTTTCCAGGTTTTGCAATGGAACAAATACGGTTGCTGCTGCTTCTAACAATTAGAGTGCTTCCAGGGTCTGCTCAGTTCAATGGCTACAACTGTGATGCCAACCTCCACAGTAGATTTCCTGGTAAGTGTAAGCCTAATCTATTCTCTAATTGCTTCTGAAAGAGTGATTATATTTGAAGAGCAAGTCATTTAAATATATATAGAGAATGGGGCCTATCTCTTTACATTAAGTGGATATTAACAAATGGCAAATGACAAGACATATTTCTAGAGCTGTAATTTACATCCATATTAACATACAAAGTGTTCATCATAGTTGATATTATTATAATGGCTGCTCACAGATATGAAAAATATTGCCTATTGTGTAAAAAATTGGGAGAGACTAATTTCATTCAAAATTTGCAAAATTTGTATCTTTTTTCTCATAAATTAATTCAGACTTTAAAAAACTGCTCTTAAATGCTAATATATTTATTTAGGAATAATCTTAAGAAAAAGATTGTGAAATATTGTACAATACAAAAAAATGCTATTTCAATGAAATGATGATTACCACCAAAGTACACAGTGAGCTTCAGAATGAATTTCACAGAAGCCCATCAATGTCATGACAAATACGAGATTTGGCAACATTGATGGGCATGTCCCACAGGTTTCTAAAACCTGCACCCAATGAGAGGTTACTCAACATTTTACCTAAGTATTCATCATTTTATATTAGCTAAAGTAATGGAACCACAGTTCAACATTTACAAAATAAAGATTAGATAATTAGACATACTTTTCCAAGTGTGCCATGCAAATGGAATCTCTTTGGCCATGGTTTACATTCTCAAAACCTGCCAGTCCTCCTGTGTTTGGAGCATGCTGTGGAACAGCAAACCTGCATAGAGCAATCAGTAGGTAGTTACATAGATAAAGCGCGATTTCTACAACAGAGCACACATCAGAAATTGTCTGAATGTCTTCATGAACTTGGACGTAGGATGTAAGTGCTTGGTTTGTTACTAAAATGTGAAGGTCATGGTGGGAATGACTAAAGGAATTCGGGGAAAATATGCTAAGGCAGAGTTGTTAATGGCTTTCAATATCAAAAATTAGCTTTTTTTACATTTATTATTATGGAAAATTTCAAATATATATAAAAGTAGAGGTTAATAGACAGAGCATTCATATTGATTATCCAGCATTATCAATTATCAAGATTTATAAATTTTGTTTGATCTTTGTCCTTACCGCTCCCATCTCTAGCATATTTAAAATAAATGTATTATTCATGCTTTGGTGTTTATATGTGATGGAAAAGAACTTAAAAATCATTATCCTTTACGTATACATCTAATAAGCTCAACAGTAATTTCTTAATATCATTAAATTCAGCCAAGTTGCCTCTAAAATCTTCACACAGAGTATTTGTTGACATATCTTTTATTTCATTTTGTTTTATAACTGTTCTCCTCTCTCCTTTGCTTTTACAAAATGCTATTTATCTCTTTGAGCAGTTTGATCATCTGTCTTGTAGAGTTCTGACACTGGATTTGGCCGACTGCAACTGTCAGGTGTCATTGAACAGGGTCCTCTTTCCCTGTCTATCCTGTAAACCAATTAGAGCTAGAAGTTTGAGTAAATTCAAGTACAATTATTTTGGCGAGAACGTGTGTTATGTAGTGTAATAAAAGTGTTTTCTCTTAATTTTGAATGCAATCAAGAGTCATTGAGTCTTTTTAAACATACCTTCTAAAGGTTTGATGTGGTCACATTTTGTTTTAGGAAGAGACATTAGGAGAAGTGTGCAAGATAGAATCAAGTTAGGATTGACAAGAGGCAGAAAGAAATATCCTGAAGGCAGTGGCAGGGGAAGCACTACAAGGGGACAGTTATTAAGAGATATTTTTGTGGTAGACTCAGCAGATAAGAAGAATTGAATTGATTTGGGAGGTGAGAGAAATAGAAGATTAGAGGATCTTTTTAACTGGAACAACTGGATGTTAATGTTGTTAACAGACAAGAAAAACACAGGACACTTGCATGTGTTAGAAAGGAAGTTCGAGTTTGAAAATAATGGGCTTGAGGCATTTTTAGAATATATAGTGGCAGTTCCTTTCTATTCAGTAGTAGGAACTATGGAGCTGGGTCTGAGAAGAGAGATCAAAACTGAAGATGGCTGTATGAGAGTTGATTCCCTGTGCAGTGGATAAGCCATGAGTAGAGGGTAGGAAAATATAAAGTATGAAAATAGACTGCTATTTAGATAACTTTTGTGGTTGGAAAAAAAAAAAAAGAAAGAAAGAAACGAGCAACCTGAACTAGGAATTGAAACAAAAGAAAGGAGCAACCTAAGGCAGGAGTTGAAATCAATTCCTGGGACTACAGAGGCCTGACCATACATGATTAAAGGGACAGTATTCAAAAAATGGAAATACTAATAAAGAATAATTGATGAAATGAGAAAAGAAAATATCGAAGCGATCAACGGTACAATGAAGGAATTAATCTTGGAAAAGTAGTAGTTGGTTGTTTGATTTAAAAGAGAAGGAGAGATAAAGACAGAGTTGGAGAAGGTGAGAGATGCTAATTGTGTTCACTCCCTCACTGTAGTGGGAGACTGTGACTCCCTGTCATCAGAGTCGCTGGAGGCCTGGGCAGGGTGGTCAAGCCTTGACCCTGTTATGGATGGATAAGAAGGCCATGTAATAGAAAGACTGCTCAGCAGAGATCTGACTGGTGTGGTAATTATATACTTGTAAAGGTTAATAAGACATGTTAAAGAGCCATGAAATGACTAAGACAGGAAAAAGAAGTATTTATCATATGGTGAAGTTTTAAAAATCATGTAAAAAAGTCTGTGTACAATGGCATCTACTGACCACCTGCATCAAAATCATATGGGTTAGTTGTTTAAAGTGGGGACTCAACCTGTTTCACCTCAAATAAGTGATGTTAGAATCTCTGAATGTGGTCTTGGGAATCTGTAGCTTAAACTCTGCAGATGAATCTAATGTACATTTATGGTGAAGAACAACTGATAGTGTATTCTATCATTTTCTTGAGTCAATTATTCCAATGAAAACACAATTATTTGTTGGGGAAATATAACTAAAAACACAATCTTCTCCCAACCTAGAAATACTCTCTGCCTGGGTAATAGAGACATAAAAACACTTTCATAATTAAATAAGCATTAAACCAGGATATGATGCACATGACAAGTAATCAGTAAGAGATTACAAAAACAGAAAGAAACCTTGCCATTTTATATAGCCAAGCAGAGACAATTCATTACATATGTTTTCAATATGGACAATAACTAGTCCTCAAGTAAGAGGACTTGACAGGACCATTTGTGATGCATATGAATCCTCTCTTTACCTGGTAAGTAGGGTGACCATCTGTGTTAGCTGATTTGTTTCATCCAGAGGAAAAATTAACTTCTCATATCTTTTTGACAGGAGAGAGTTTTGCAATTTGGAGCCAGGCTCACATCAAAATTAGGCTCCCTTCCCCAGCGCAGAAACTGGGACATAAGGCTACCATCTCCCTTGATGTTTACATTTCAAAGAGATGGCTCTCAGATCCTTGAGAAAGCCATTCCTGGGTCATAAAGCTTACAAGAATCCTATCTAGTTTTCAAAAGGATTAATACACACTTCAAAGAGAGGAGAAAGTACTTCTAATTATAAGTTTTCTAAAGTAAATGCTCTCAGAAAAAGGGAGGGAGAAGTCTCTTCCTCTATTTTCGATTATATTTGTGTTTTGTGTTTGTATTTTTTCTTACACATATTAGCACTTTAGGTATTATCTGGCTTAGGCAACAAACACCCAAACTTTCCAGACATATATTCATAAGCACATATACCCATACACACACACACACACACACACACACACACACACACACACACACACAGAGTTACAATTTTAAAATTTGTATTTAAAAAACATTAAATTTGCATTTTAATGAAACAAATGTTAATAAAATCCAAATAATGCTGAAGTCCCAGGAGAGACTTTATATTTAGATGGGTATTATTTAACCCATTTTTTTGGAGGTTGTTTGCAAAAAGAGGATCAGAGTGAGCAAATAAAGCCTAAAGATTAATTGCTTACTGCCTTCTTGACTCTCAGTATCTCTTCCACATCACGATCACCCTTGATGTCATCAGGAGCTCCGCAAGCTGCTCAGAGCCTAAGCAATGGGATGGAATGAGAATGAGTCTGGCAAAGGAAAGGGGCTATCTAAATGCAAAGCAATGTTAATAATGATGACAGTAATCATCTCACCCTATCTGACCTTTGCTGTTTCATGACATTAGAACTATTTTCTTTAATTTCCATGGCATTTATCCTGGGGCCAAGAGACGCACCATGGTCTAATTCATTTAAATTTAAAGGAATGCCATTTAATTTTTAGAGGTAGTTAACTCTTGGTTATCCAAGCTTACAGCCAAAAGCAGACTCATGAACCACCAAAATTACAGTTGTGATGATTCTAGAATAAAACTCAACTACTTTATTTGGTTAACGTAAAACATACAGATGAGTGCACTTGGCCTTTGTGACTGGTGTGTATTTTCTGAAGCCAGCCCTTTCTTTGGAAGTACATGAGGATTAGACTAAACTTTCTGGCCTCTAAAGAAATCTTCAATGATAAAGGCATATCCAAGTAGAAAAATGAGCTTATAGCACAAGAAACTTTATGGCTTGACACTGTCTTATGGTGAACTAAGTAGTCATGGGAAACTGAGTATGAGTCAGTGTTTCATAACATGTGATTTGATATTATGTTGTAAATAATACTAATAAGGAAACAAGCAATAAGTTCCATGTTTTGAGTACCAGGTACCTCACAGAATTCTTTCATTTCTTACAACAAACTTTCAAAATCTTTTTAAATCCTCCCTTTACAGTAGGAAAACTGAGGATATAAATTTGTTAAATATTGCAAATCTGCAAATTAATAGAGATATAAAACTAGGATTCTTTCCATCAAACAATGATGTCTGAAAATGAAATCTGAATAGTAAGTTTTAAAAATGATGTATGTATGGAGATTCTCAACTGAAATTACCATGTTTAAGGATCTGAAAAGTCATGTGTTAGGGGAATTTGCTTAGTCTT